TTAAATCTACGAATAGTATAATTTAATGGTTACTTTTTATATAATTTAAGGTTGGTGTACTTAGTACAACATCATTTAATCAAGCTTACAAAGATTGGAAGTTTTGTAAATTTGAATTGAAAGATGGCTGGTAAAAACTGGATGGAATGTCCAACATGTTCAGTCAGTCAACATTCTGGTCATGTGGATGGAAACATGAAGCTTTATCGATTTATATCTGCCGGAGGGTAAAATTATGCATAAATTTATAGAAAAATATATCTTACATTGTAATCACACTGCGCACAACTTTTTCATGTAAGAATCTCTGTTGTATAATCTGATGCAATATTGGTATGAAGTACTGTCTAGTATTTAAGCACAATATTCTAATTTATAATTTTGAAAGCCTTCCATTATTTTCATTTTTGTTTGTTTTAGAAGACAATGTGATTGCTACTATGGTGAAATATTTATTGCTAGCTCCAAAAAGGTTGAAAAACACATGCAACAACTTCAATCTCTTGGTTTCTCTGGCAACATTGATTGAGTACAATACAATACAATACAAATTTATTTAGGTCTTCCCCTCAGGGCTTTTCAGGTCTAATTACATGTTATAATAAGACTAGTTTACATAGTTAAAAAGTTAAACATTTAGAATCCATGATACTTAAGTATATAAATTATTAAAAATGCTACAAATTATCTATTTAAGAGCCAGTCCTTCAATGATCGTTTAAATGAGTTCAATGTCTGGCTCTCTTTAACAACGTTTGGTATGGTGTTCCAGAGTTTAATAGCTCTGTATCTGAAAGATCGTTGGGCTGAACTCGTATTGCATTTTGGTATATCGAGATTGCTTCGATAGCGAGTACAACGAGTGTGAACATCTGAACGTCTCTTTAAAAAATTGCATAAATACGGTGGTACTCTACCATTTATGATCTTATACACCATTTGGGCGTCCCGATATGCAAGCATGTCTTCGACTGATAACCATCCAAGGTCTTTAATTGTAGATGATATGTTATCGTACTTCCTCTTTCCAGAAACTATCCTGACTGCGAAATTTTGAGCCAGTTGTAGTTTCTTTATATTGCCTTTGAATGTACCCGCCCAAACGGTCGAGCAATAGTATAATTTGCTAAAAACGAGCGAATTTATGACTGAGGTAAATGTTTTCTTATCAAAAAGATGTTTCACTTTGCTAATCTGGCACAATGACCCCATCAATTTAGATGCGAGATTCTCCGTATGTTCCGTAAAGGAAAGACTCGTGTCTAATATTACTCCAAGGTCTTTTGCATGGGGTACTGGTATTAATTCTTCTCCTAAAAAATGCACTGTTGGTATATCCATTCTGGCAAGAGTTTGCTTAGAACCAAATAGCAGAAATTTAGTTTTTCCTGGATTAATTAACAGACAGTTAGAACAGCACCAAGCGGCCACCCTTCTTAGATCTGCATTTAGCTAGTCCATTCCTTCAGAGACTTCACTAATTAGGAACGACAAGAAAAGTTTTGAATCATCCACATACGATTCAATTTTACAATTCCGACATATGCTACTGATTTCATTTACATATAAATTAAACAGTAACTGGCCTAAAATTGATCCCTGAGGGACACCATGTGTAACATACTGAGGTTTGGATAGATGTTGTCCTATTTTAACCGATTGAGAACGATCACTAAGATAACTTTTGAACCAAGCAATGGCCGAAGGGTTTGTTCCAAAAGTTCGAAGTTTTTCCAAGAGGATAGTGTGACTGATACTGTCAAACGCCTTGGTTAGATCAAGTAATATAACAGCTGTTACCTTCCTACTGTCTATAGACTGATATATGTGGTCTGTCATAAAGAGCTGCAAGGTTTCAGTGGAATGATACTGGCGGTTACCGCTTTGGTGACTAGTAAACTTATCAGTGTCAATCAAATAGTTAGAGAATTGTTCCAGGGCTACACGTTCAGTAAGTTTTGACAACACAGGTAACAGTGAGATAGGTCTGTTATTTCCTGCTATTTCATGATCGCCTTCTTTATATTGTGGTATTACCTCTGCTTTCTTCCACTGTTGTGGGAAAACCTCTTGACTAAAACTAGCGTTGACAAGGCCTGTTACAGTTTGTAGGATATGTGGATAACAGTCTTTCAGAACATTTATAGAAATCTTATCATAACCCTGTGTTTTATTAGATGGCATATTCTTAATCACTTGTTCGATTTTGGTGCAAGATACTGGGTTAAACGAAAACTGGGTTAATGAAGAATCACTTGTGCACTCGGGTTGAGTGTATTCTGTGGATTCCATTATTAAACTATAGTCATCTGCCAGAGTAATTCATTGTTGAATTAAATAATATTTACCTACAACTCACAATGTGAAGCATTCAGGTTTTAAGAAACCTCATTTATATTGCAAGCTGTTGGTAAATCGTATATCCCATGTAAAATTGGTGGAATCATCATAATATAGCATTTTACTAATTAGTTTCTCGTATTTTATCAAAGAATAAAGATATGTCCTCTTGCGGCGAATCGCAATGGAGGGCTGGACAAAACACAGCAAGGGAGCAGCAAAATTTGGATGAGACTGGAAATATTAGGATGCAGGCACTCCATTGCACAGAAAGCCATCAGCATGCACCGGGGTGAAATATACAGTTATGCCCATTTCTTGCAAACCAAATACCTGATTCCAAAAGGTGTTGAGTATTTTTGGTATGATGTGGTGAGTATGTATTGGCCGTGGCTGACTAAGAATGATTCTACCGCAGTGGAGAAAATAAAACCAGCTCTCCCTGTGATGGATGCTAAAGCACATTCCTGGTTGTGTCAGGTGAATAATTTACTAACATGATGCAGGTGCAATAAGCTTGTTAATTTCATCAAGTTGCGGCAAGCTTGTGAAAATCAGCCTTGCTGCAACCTGTCATTTGCAGACTTGAAGCAACCTATATATCATATTCATATATACATAAATGTATATATTATATTCATAGGTACTCTTAGGAGGGAGGTGCAACCAGAAGCTGCTTGTACGTCAGGAGAGAAAGTGAAACAAATAAATAGTCACTTTTCGCGGTTTGGAAATACTACAAAGCACATGCTTCCTGAAGGTTTGTAACTGTTTTTAAAAGTGTAGAAGTACATTCAATAACGTTGGTATACGAATTTACTTTGCTTCAATATAAGTACATGTTAGTTTTTTAATTAGGTAGAGAAGAGCTCCTAACAGAACACACTCTCGCTTGCAACAAGCAAAAAATAAAGAAAATGGCCTGGTATCTCAGCAGTCGCTATGCGAAGGTGCAGAAAATAGAATGCACAAAAACCTGTTTAACATTATAGCATTAAACAGGTTTTTGAGGCTTGAGAGATATCATAGTCAATCTGATATGATCTTAAATATCGTGTATTACAGACAAAGGAAAAACTACGTAAAACAATCAAAGAAAAAGATAACTTGTTGGAAAGCATTGGATGTGCAGATGTGCATGATACTGAAAAATGGATTCAAGAACTCAAAACAGTCGCACAAGGTTTATTGCTTCAAAGTAGATTTTTACCTTAAGAATAATTTTAGACCTAAAATAACATAAAGTATGAAAATACGTAAAATACGAAATCCATCACAGTGAACTGCATACCCTCCAGTTAAGGTGGTGCCTTCATATATTTCACTATAGTAAGAAGGCATGAAGTGAACCTCAATTTTACAAGTGTTGGAAGGATTGAATGTGATGTGCTGATATCTTAATATAACATTTGTACCATTGATATAAAACAACTGCCCAAAAATCAGGAGAAAATATGAAATCTATCACAATGAACTGCATACCCACCAGTTAGGTGGTGCCTTTGTATATTACACTATAGTAAGGCATGCATGAAGTGAACCTCAATTTTACAAGTGCCGGAAGGATTCAATGAAACCTGCTCAAATGTTAATATAAACACAACTGCCCAAAAATCAAGAGAAAATATGGAATCCATCACAATGAACTGTAGTTTTTCCTATGACGTGGCAGGGCAGGCACTGAAAAAGGTGGGTACATTTAATAATTACAGCTCTGTATCTTTTATCAAGTGTCAAGTAAGCCACATGAGGGTTAAAGGTACAAAAGTTTTACGTAAACACAGACCAAATCAAACTTGAAGAAGGTCTAGATGTCAAGTTAATTTTGATCTCTGTTAGCACTAAAAACTGCATATAACTACCGTCTATTTTTTATTATTTAAAGTGGTCACTATTCAAGGTGCCAAGATGCAGACAAAAACAAACATAAATACTGCATGTTTATGAACTTCTTGACTGTTTGCATGAGAAATATTTTTAAAAAAACTTTTTAAGCAGTACCTTTTAACAACAGAATTGTCTTACATATATTTTGTTCACTGGGAAATACTCAACAGTTGTAATATATAAATAACTTCACATGCATATATTTTAAAACATTTTCTTTTTCACATATTGTTTGTCAGAAAACTGAGTCCATTTATTGGCCAGGCATAAAATCTACCAACGGCAACAGCATCATTTTCATTGTCAAGTTGGCAGGACATGGTATCTTTTTTGGAGAGGAAAGACTTATTTCCATTACTAAACAGTCTTTGGGGACTGGACGGCCATGGAGTGTTTGACAAACTTTCACTCTTCTAATTCCCTTTACTGTTTTATCATTTGCTGCAGTTAGTCCAAATCCTGTACCTATAGTAAGAAAAACCAGGTATTTAACTTTGTATGGTTTCTATTAACAGTTCTATTAACAGGTTTCTATTAATTGTTGTGTGTTACATTAAGTACTGGACGCGTGGTCTAATTAACGCTGACCATTATATGAGCGAGTACTTGCACGTTGTTGTTACGTAGTTGTAGTTCTGTTCTGAGATTAAACAACTTTAAACTTGTTGGTACTTCTACTTTTTGAGTGTTTGAACACAACAGTGGCGACGAGGATTTGGGATTGTGGATTGTGAGGTACCTGATATGAAAAAGGCTGAAATCTTCTGTTAAATATGGCTGCTTTGTTCGGGAATATTAATGAATTCGATGCCTACACTGATCAGAATTGGGATGAATATATCGAACGTTTAGAGCATTATTTCGTGGCGAACGAAGTCGAGGAAGCAGAGAAGAAAAGGGCGATTCTGTTAACGGTATGTGGACACAAAACATATGGATTAATTCGTAATTTGGTCAGCCCGGACAGGCCAGGGGATAAGTCATACGATGAACTTAAAACATTGATCCATAATCATTTGAAGCCTAAACCGTTGGTCATTGCAGAACGTTTTAAATTTCACCAACGAAAGCAGCAAAGCTCATAAAAAAGGGAGCCAGTATTTGACAGGGCTGCGGAAGTTAAGTGAACATTGTGAATTTGGAGCCTTCTTGAATGATGCACTCCGTGATCGCTTTGTATGTGGGTTGTCATCTCTGGTTATTCAGAGAAAGCTGTTGTCAGAGGCGGACTTGACTTTAAAGAAAGCCTTAGATGTTGCCTTGAGCATGGAAATGGCAGCTGAAGAAGCGAAAAGGCTTGCTGGTGATGGCCCTGAGAGGGATCATGGTTGCAACAAGATGTCCATTGAATGCTTTCGTTGTGGAAAACCAAATCATGTGGCCGATGCTTGCTTTCATAAGAAGAGTAGATGTCATAATTGTCATGAAGTTGGTCATCTGGTAAAACAATGCCCCAGGAAAAATGGCCAAAGACAGAATACAACAAGCAAACATAAGAAATCAGATGATTTGAGTGTGGGAAAGGTGGTAAAGAAGAATTCAAGAGTTAACAAGGTGGCTGCCCAAGAGTCTGATGATTCTGGCGATGTGTCTGAAGGGGATGTATCTGATGAATGGCCCATTTACACCATGAAAGCAGAAGGCCGAGAAGAAATAAAAGTCAAAGTATCCATTAATACGTACCCCATAGAAATGGAACTTGACACAGGGTCTTCGGTTTCCTTAATACCTGAAAAACTGTTTGAGAGCAAATTTAAAGAGTCCATGCCATTAAAGCGTTCTTCGGTGACGTTACGAACGTTTACTGGTGAGAGAGTTCCTGTCCTTGGGGAAGCGGAGGTGCAAGTCGGGTATGAATCACAAAGAATGAAGTTACCTCTGTTAGTGGTTAAGGGGGAGGGGCCCCCATTGCTTGGCAGAAATTGGCTTGCCAAACTGAGATTAAATTGGAGTGTTATTCACTACACCACTAAGGTGAAAACTCCAAGTTTGGAAGAGCTATCGAAGTCTTACTCGGTGTTCAATGGCAAACTGGGGACGGTGAAAGGAATCACAGCATCGCTGAAAGTCAAGGACACCTGCCAGCCTAAGTTTTTTAAGCCAAGACCCGTACCGTTCGCACTTAAAGACAAAATTGCAGATGAACTGTTTCGGTTGGAGAAAGAGGGAGTTTTGGAAAAGGTGGATAGTTCAGAATGGGCTACGCCAATTGTACCCGTATTAAAGCCTGATAACACAGTGCGTATCTGTGGTGATTATAAGGTCACAATCAATCCGATACTTGATGTTCCAGAGTATCCACTGCCCACAGCTGAAGAAATTTTTAGTAAATTGAATGGTGGACAAAAGTTTTCAAAGCTGGATCTATCACATGCCTATCAACAGGTACTGCTTGATGAAGAGTCACGCAAGTTGGTTACCATTAATACGCACCTCGGGCTATACAGATATACACGATTGCCATTTGGTGTGGCGGCAGCCCCGGCTATTTTTCAAAAAACTATGGATGAGATACTCCAAGGGATTGGCGGAGTCGGGTATATCCTTGACGATATTTTAGTAACGGGCAAAGATGATACAGAGCACAGGCAGAATTTGGAGTTAACATTACAACGATTAGACGACTTTGGCATCAAACTTAAAGAGTCGAAATGTTCGTTCATGCAAGACGAAGTAGAATATTTTGCTTTCGTGGTGAACAAAGAGGGTATCCACCCTTCACCCAAGAAAGTGGAAGCCATGTTGAAGCTCGAAGATCCCAACAACAAGAAGGAGCTGCAATCGTGGTTGGGTATTGTGAACTATTACCGGAAATTTATCCCAAACATGTCGACGATGGTTCAACCTTTGACTGATCTTTTGGCAAATAACGTGGAGTGGGTTTGGACGGAAGAATGTGCAAATGCCTGTCAACTAGTTTAGAAGCATCTTGCGTCGTCAGAAGTGTTGGTTCATTACGACCCTAAGAAGTTGTTGGTTTTAGCAGTGGATGCTTCTGCCCACGGATTGGGAGCAGTGATTTCCCATCAGATGGATAGTGCGAATGAAGAGGGACCGATTGCATATGCCTCTAGAACGCTCACTTCAGCGGAGCGTAACTACTCCATGATAGAAAAAGAAGCCCTTGCAATTGTGTTCGGAATTAAGAAATTTCACCAATACCTGTATGGACGACGATTTATCTTGCTGACAGATCATAAGCCATTGACGCTGATTCTTGGTCCAAAAAAGGGAATTCCCGTCTTGGCAGCATCGCATATTCAGAGATGGCCGATCCAACTATCAGCCTACCAGTTCGACATCAAGTACCATTCAACTGAAGAGAATGGAAATGCCGATACGCTGTCACGTTTCCCGCTCGCTGCATCCGGCGAAGTGTCGGACGGTGTCTTCTTCCAAGAAGCAGAACTTGTGAATAAAATGGCCAGCGCTACAAGGAACGACAAGTGGTTGTCTAGGGTCACGGAATATACCAGATGTGGTTGGCCGCGAAGTGAGGTCGACAGCGAATTACAAGCGTACCATCATGTGCGGGAGGAAATCTCTATCGAGGAAGATTGTCTGCTCCGAGGAGTTCGTGTGATAGTCCCAGAACGTTATCGTGAAGAAATCCTGGACGAATTACATAGAAGTCACCCTGGCATGGTGCGTATGAAGGCCCTTGCGAGATTACATGTTTGGTGGCCAAACCTGGATACCGACATCGAGAGAAAAGTTGCGGTGTGTAAACCCTGTAGAGAGCAGTTGCCAAATTGTCCGAAAGCTCAAGCCAACCCTTGGCTTTGGCCACAATCACCTTGGCAACGGATCCATGTCGATTACGCCGGACCGTTTCTGGGGGAAATGTTTTAAGAAATGGGTAAAGTGTGTGTAATTTACTCAAAATCACCAGACCGAACTTTGCATAAAACTGAACTTTGCTGCCGTGTCCATAAACTTACATGTCATTCAAAACATACCAATATCACAACAACCCTAACCCTATTTATACCTATACAAAAATGGACTTTTTATACATTTGGCCCTAGTCAAAACCCAATAAACATCCTACTGAAGACATACGCTGATATATTAGCACCTGCCGTTGCTGATATTATCAACTGCTCATTCCAAACGTGCAAAGTCCCACAAGCATGGAAGATGGTTGACGTTCCCCCCATCCCTAAACAATCAAAGATCACGGACTTTAATAAAGATCTAAGGCCAATTTCTCTGACGTCAACCTTATCAAAAGTGGCAGAAAAATTCATCATTGACAGAGGACTGAGGCCGATATTGCTTAGATCTTTGGATCCATCACAATTTGGTTTTGTACCACGCTTGTGTACAACGTTTGCTCTTATCTCAAAGTTACACAAATGGCTAACTGAAACCGATGGCACAGGCTCAGCGATAAGAGTAGCCTTACTCGATTACAGGAAAGCCTTCGACTTGGTTAATCATAATTTGCTAATTGCAAAATTACTCAGTTGTGGTTTAAAACCCACAATCGTAAATTGGATTACGGACTTTCTACGAAATAGATTACAGCGAGTAAAGATATCAACCAAAGGTGTATCCGACTTCCTACAAGTTCCAGCGGGCGTTCCACAAGGAACCAGGATTGGTCCATGGCTGTTCTTAGCCATGATTAACGATCTACGTATCAATGGTTCCCCCATAAATAGTATATGGAAATTTGCAGACAACAGGACCATTTCTGAAGTCATCTTAAGGAACATGGAAAGTAGATTACAAGATACAATAGACCAAGTTGCTAAATGGTCCAATGAAAATAAATTTCAGTTAAATCCGATAAAGTGTAAAGAGCTACGAATTGACTTTACTAGAAGCCCCTCTACTGATGATGGTTTGATTCTAACGCCTGTATTCAAAAAGCTCACTCACACTCAAACTCATTGAGTGGGAGATCTTAATCTTCTCATGACGTTTCAATGGCGGTATTTTCAGCCGAACAGGGGCTTGATTTTCAGTGATTTACCTTATATCTTTTAATCTATTGAGAGAAAACTTTCTCATTGATCAGCATTAACAAAATTTATATGTCACACTCAATGAGTGTGAGTGTGAGTGAGCTTTTTGAATACGGGCCTAAATGGCAAACGCTTTGAACTTGTTAAATCAGCTAAACTACTGGGTATGACTATCACGGAAGACCTAAAATGGAACAGTCATATCGAAAATATTGTATTAAAAGCTTCAAAACGACTATACTTATTAAGGCAGTTAAAATGTGCAGGTGTAGATCATTATTCCTTGATTCAATTCTACTGTGCATGCATTAGATCCATCTTAGAATACGGCTGCCAAGTTTTCCACTCAGGCCTTCCTGATTATTTGTCGGTGGATATGGAACATGTACAAAGTCGAGCCTTGCGGATAATCTACCCGGAATCAAGTCCAAAAGTCGCATTGAAGGAAGCAAAATTATTAACACTGAAGGACAGAAGAGAAAAGTTATCACAAAAGCTATTCTTGTCCATTGAAACAAAAGATGATCATAAATTACACCATTTACTACCTAAAGAAAACTTACCAACACATAATTTTAGAGAACTGAGAAGATTTAATCTTCCCATTATTAATACGAATAGGTTATTGAACTCTTTTATCCCAATTTATGCGAAAAAATCAAAACTTTAAGCATATTAGTATAGTCTTAGTATTAATACTTTATCGTAGTGGAACATTTTACAGTAATCTTAAATTAATAGAATTTTATAGCAACATGTTGTAAATATAGTAAACATATTCCATATTTTACCTAAAATTCTTTGCCTGTAAATTCAATTGCAACTCAGTTGTAAGACTGCAAAAATTGATTAATTAAACATTAACATTAACAAGCCCGTGTGTTCGACCAAAAAAATGAAATGTACCGTTTGTTTTTATCAATTGTACACCTAGTTTACCAAATTAAGAAACTCACTGAAATTCATCAATAATTAGAGCGTTTTCAGCGCGCAATGAACAAATCGGATTATAGATTTCACATATCACGCAAGTCTTTTAAGCCAAACTTGACAAAGCTTCGAATGCAAAAAAGGAATAGAGTTACTGCATTACCGATAAACCGTGTGTAAAATTGAGTTATTGCAATAATATACTGTTTGAAATAAACACTTCATGGGAAAGGTACGTGCAAGGTAGCATTGTCCACATTGTAATCAAAATGTTAGCTACTTTACATATCGACAACACCGAATGCGTTTTTTTGATAATCAAAGAGGGAAGTGGAGAGTGAATAGTTCTAACATCAATGACGTATATGAAGGTACGTATATATGTAGTATATAATTCAGCATTGTTTTTTTATGATGGATTGAAGAAAACCACTTGCCAGTTAGCATACACAATTAACCCAGTATAATACCTTTCAAATAATTTATGATGTTTAACTTGCATATTGCATAAACATTCACATTGACAAACCTTAGCGCTATCAGTAAAATCAGTTTTAGAAACCTTGGACCTATACATAGGTTGTTTGTTTTAATCTGAAGTCAGTTGTGAACAATGATATGCACTTTTGATAAAGTGGGAGTAAAATGAAAATTATGAAAGAATGCATGTTTGTTTGGAAAGTTTCATGTCATCAGTGAAATCACCCCTAGGTGAGAAAGAAGTGGAATTCTAATTCCAACCAATTCCAGATGAAATGTTCCATGAAAATGGTGTTCAAGAAAAATGTACACGAATCTGCATGTTGCAGGAATAAAAACATTTCTTGTCTTAAAGCTCTGTTTACACTACAATCAATTTAAAATGGGTACCCATTTTACTAGTTATGGATATTCTGACCGTATTCTGACTCGCTATACGGTGCCGTAATATGTATTTTATTCCGACCCATTTAGAGAGTGGAATACTTGGGAATACGCAGCTTTTCGCCTGGTGGGGGTGATAAAAGGCTTCCAATTTACAGTTATTCAAGTCCTGACATTAAAGAATATTCCAGATCTGTTTAAAAAGGATATTCCTGCAGACTAAATGGCAGAAATCAAGCCAACAAGCATTTCTACAACCTCAACCTTTGTTGTTGACCAAAAACTTGCAAAAGTAAAGCATCCGTTTGATGTCGAAGCTGATTAAACACTTGGGGCCTATGAGAAAAAAGAGCAAACTAGGTTTTATGAAGTTAAGGTTGCTGACGGAGGCGAACTTTTTATCAGTTCAGAGGTCTCGGTGAACAAAGACGACAATGGCATTATCGTTGTTGGGTTCAACAGATGGTAGAAAAAGAGCAGTGCATAAGCATACAATGAAAATGTATCAGACGGCATTTACAAGATATGTCATATTTATTATGCCAATATCAGAATATAATGAATTTTATAGTCGTCTAAAGAATTTGAAGTTATATACTCTGAAATGTTTCATGATCATGCATTACTATTTTAACTCAGGGAATGCCATCCCCGTACTGGCTACAGCGCATAGAAATGCAACACATCCGCATGCCAAATCCTTTATTTCAAGAGAGCACTGACTCTCTCAAGAAAGAAGTGAAAGAAACGGTTCGTACAAATGTTCGTGCCCCAAGGATTATTGAAGACGAAAAATCAAAGGATCTGAATTTACTTGACTCTCAATTACAGTCAACCACTATTCGGGATACCAAGCAGCTGTATAACTACTGTTATTTGTATGGGGAAACAAAAACCAGATCTAGTATCGATCAAATTAAGGAAGTTATCCTTAAACTCCTTGAGCAAAGATCCACTGCTGACGAAATGGACCCAGATTTGCTTGACAAGAATCAAGCATTCATCAGAGAATTCCTGTTAAGACACAAGAAGCAAGCTTGTTTTGTGGCATATTTGCAACAGTCTTTGACAGATATAGAACGCTTCTCCGCAACATCAGCAAATCCCAGGTTTACTGCGTTTTTGGCTTGTAACACTACATTTAACATTGCAAATCATCTCATGACACAAACGACCTACGAGCAGATGTCAGTAATTGGAAGAGAGAGTTTAAAGAACCCCTGGTTTCCAGGTCCATTTCTTATCCATCGAAATCAAACAGCGCACAAATTCGCTTATTTTTGGCAAGCAGTGAAAAAGATGGAATCCGGCTTGAAAAATATCAGACTTGTGTCACTCATTCTCTAATGTTACATGATTAAGCACAGTTACTTCTAATCAAATTGTATGTGTTTGTCCATTTTTAAAGTTTTTGGCCAACTAGGCTAGCACTAAAGTGACATTCTTCACATGAACATTTCTTGGCACACATGTCAGAGTAAAGATGAGCTGGCTCGATAAGATATGAATTGTCAAAGTCAAGTGCATGTAGCATCTGAATTCTTAAACTCTCACTTTTGCAAAATTGCCTCATTTCATCTGTCATTCCCACTCTGTTCCTCGCAATATCATGGTTGTTGTAATACAACAGAGCTTGTGCATGCCTTCCATCCTTTCCAGCTTTTCCAGTCTCCTGGAAATATGCCTTAATGCTGCATGGTAGACTGATGTGGATAACATGCCGTATAGATGGTATATCCACCTCCAAACCCATTGCAATTGTTGCAGAAATTACACGTACAGTGCTTTTAGCAAAACAGACCTGATTAAGGATTTGTTCTTTCATAATCTTGTTTGGAAGGCATGGAACTGGGCAAATAGCCTATTTTCAGGTATTTTCAAGGAACTCTCTGGGTAATATTGCCTACCCCCCAAAACATATTCGAAAAGTTTGTAGGCAAATTTAATGGAACACAACACAACTTTAATGGGGTAAATTACGGTAATGGGATGATTAGTCTTCTCCTTTAATAGCTTTTTGGCAATTAGCTGCAAGGTACCTTCACAAGACTCCATATCATTTCCATGCCTGAAAATTTTCTTGTAGAAAACATTCTTTCTGTCTAGATTACCAATGACATTTTTGCAGTCCTTCAATCCCAGCGACTCTTTTGTACAGTTCCTATCTTGATTGTTTGCAGTTGCAGTCATTGCAAGTACCGGAACATCTGGAAAAATTGCACACAGAACTATAGCACTACAGTCTAGCAGGCCTAAAACCTTTGTAAAATCCATTTGCTGAAGGATATCTTGGTGCACATCTGCCACAAAAACACCATGCAAGACTTCCATTTGGTTGGGCTCTGGGTCACCTGGTGGTGGGGGATCTGGCTCCCCTTGTGGAGGGGTCAACAGGTTAGGCATGACCTTGACTCATTGGTAGCTCACTATTCACTAGGTCAGCGAATGCAGCTAGTTGTCTCCATAGCAATTCCTGTACTAACCTCCTCAAAGCATCTGCATCCATATTGGCAACTAAATTTTACCAAAAAAAAGTTGCACAATTTTATTTTCAAGCATAACTTTACCTAGAACACTATAGTACCCCTTTTTATTTAGTATCAGTGATGACATCTGTAACTTTAACTGACAACTGTGTATCAGTCAAATATCACAATAGTAATTGTTGTGGATATCATGCTTATGTACCTGTAGCTGTTGGTCATGGTCCACAACACGCTGTGCAGCGTCTTCTTCTGGTTGTGATTGCCCATGACCACGTCCTCTACCACTTCCACGTCTTCTACCACTTCCACGACTTTTACCACTTCATGACCTTTACCACTTCCACAACCTCTTTTGGTTCCTTTTGCACGCTTTGCACAAGGCCCAGCGCTATTGGAAGAATCATCACTGTCGTGTTAGCTTCCTAAAATCACAAGTATTTTTAAGAAATTTACATTCAGCAACACGTAGAAACATAAATTCATATATTCATATATTCATATATTCATATATATATATATATATATATATATATATATATATATATATATATATATATATATATATATACATGAATATATGAATATATGAATATATGAATTTATGTTATATATATATATATATATATATATATATACACATACACATACACATATACATATACACATACACATATACACATATACACATATACACATATACACATATACACATATACACATATACACATATACACATATACACATATACACATATACACATATACACATATATATATATATATATATATATATATATATATAAGCTGAGGATTCTAGTATGCCTTGTATCAGGGAACAATTGCAACGACTCAGTTACTCTGCTCGCGCAATAAACATCATGGCTTCCTGGTGGTCAGGGACAAAGGCTCTATATTGAGTTTATTTAAAGAATTGGTTTAAATTCTGCAGGGAGACAGGATGTGATATTATTTCACCTTGAGTCCTATGAAGCGTTATTAGGGTCATAATTTGAATTGAAATTCTGTTGTGCTAACTCTCATTATATTTTTATTTTTTCGAATAACATAATCTGGATTCGAACAACATAATTTGGATTTAAATAACATAATTTAGATTCGAACAACATAATTTGAATTCAAATAACACAATTTGGATTCGAATAACAGAATTTGAATTTGAATTCGAATAACCGAATTTGAATTAGAATAAGATAATTTGGATTTGAATAACATAATTTGGATTATTGGATATAAAAAAATTCACTAGATTTCCTTGTTTCCTTTTTTCCCTTAAAATTCTTTTTTGATGTAAAACTGAAATTTCTTTGAAGTGGAAACCCTGTAAGACGAAGAAAGGATTGTCATAATTTATGATGATTTATTCCATGATTGACAGTTCTGCAAGTGAACAAGCGAGTGCATGATGGCCGAAGACAATGAAAATCGAGATTCTCAAACTTTTCAAAATGAAAGTGAAGGCAATAATAGAGCTATACAATTACTCCCGGAAGCAACGATGTTGCTTTCATCCACTGCCTTTGCAAACAGTCCTCGGATACGCCAAATGCAAGCACAAGTAGACCGCTTTCGGCTTCAAATATATTGCAAACCCAGCTTCAAACACCTTCTGGTTCATCGTCATCGTCGACAACATCTTTACAGGCACAATCTGTCGTACAAAATTTAAGAAGTATATTCTCACCTTATGCACGATCCACTGTTTCGCCCGCATTCGCATATCAACGTACACAATGTCCCAAAAGTACGTACAAGCCGTATTACACTGTTAAAGAGACGTGGACGCATGAATTTTTTTGTCTGAGTCAACGTAAGCAAAACCGCGTTCCTTCCAGCGCACATAAAATGGTTTTACAAGAATGCGGTCTTGGCAGAAGGAAGATATGTTTTAATTCCAAAGGAAACTATTCGAATTTAGAAGAAAAATTATTTAAAGAGTTTCCAAAGTTGGCCGATGGAGGGGGATTTCAAATCATGCGGACAGGCTTAGGTGGTAACAGCAGCAGTCTTGCTGTAACACCACCACCTCCAAGCGGATATTCAGTGTCCTTCCTGAGAGATGCATCTGGTCTGGGCCAGGCTCTGGCATATGTCCGGCCACTTCAACAAGATCTTGATACAAAAGTAAATCCTGTGGTAAGTAAATTTCTGTTACCGTGAATCTCCTTACTCTGTTACTCTATCAGATTTATCTCTATCAATTTTTTTTCACTTGGGAACCCAAAAATTGTCAATCTGAAGAGTCCAATTTCAAAATTTCCTTGCTCTGCACCAAGCCTTGTGCATGTTGGTGCCACCAGTTAAATCTAAATCCACCTATGGTTGGGGTTTGGGAGTGTCTAACTATAATACAACATAGTATTTGCCAATTGTCCATTTCTAATTTACTCTTATTATTCTCCTTTCTCTATATCATATACTATGGATAGAGTGATGCTGATCTAAACACAACCAATGTTCAAAAGGTGGAATGTATAAATTGTGGTGAGAAAGTAGTAATGTTGATGTGGGAACAACACACAACTAGCTGCCAAGGTGGACCATCATCAAGAATGAACGAATCTGTACAGGTAACTCCTAAACTGCACATTATGAGCATTCAGACATGCAGGTTATGATATCGAAGACTGGCATAAAAATTGAAGAGAAAAGATAACCTATGGTTAATTAGCATTAAGAATTATAGTTAGAATATTTTTTATGCAGTCAGGCAGCTATGATCAGCAGCTATGTATAAACTTTTAATGATTGCATTTTTTGAATGCTTGCAATTTGCATACTCTGTATAGGTAACAACAAATGCTAGTTGCACAGAAAAATGTGATTTACCCAAAGACATCATAGTGGTATTAATCAAATTATTTAATTTATTTTATAATATAAGTCCCAAATTACAGACTACTAGAAGCTAGCTGGAGTACATTTTTATATTTTTCATCTTTGCATCCAGGAAGTAGGAGTGGGGTGTGAGGGTTTGGACAAACAATTGTACACCAATGAAATTTGAACTATTATAATTGAATGTGTTATTTTTTCTAGGTGAAATGTGATGACGTGCAAGATGAAGACAATATTAAGGTTTTAATTTATAGAGTACAAACATTGACTTTATGTACAGCTGTATTTTCCCTTTGAAATTGTTCTTTCATAAGTACAAGCTCTCTCTCTACAGCAGGCAGTAAGACTTTTAGTAAGATTCTAAAGTTTTGTTGTGAAATCTTTTAAAATGTGGTTAATTAGTCATTGCGAATCTCCTGTTTACAAGTCATTTTGTATTATGTGTGCAGTTACCAATTTTCGGAAATTTTTATCTCACTACCTAAACAAAAATTTCATACTGGTGTGAAAAAAATGTCAGTAAAATAGCTGTGCAAATTTGAACTGGAATCACATTAACACCTACAACCACACTGCAGTAGAAAAAGGTGTGATCTCTTTGCATCTAAACTAACCTATCAAAGCAATTCTATTGTAGATAAAAGCAGCTGGGAAATTTGTTTCCAAAAATGCGCAAAGAATTGATTGAAAAAGTTTATAATGCTTCAAATGGTGATTTGGATCAAACAGCATCACAACTTGTTGGCTTAACAGAAGGTAAGGAATAAGAAAATATTCTCTTTATTTATATGGAAACTTTTTTTATTCAATCCCAATATACTTCAAGCACAAGTTGTGGTATGTATGAAGTTGTGGTTAATTCTTCCAACCAGACTATTTATGGGAGTCAATAATATTTCCTACAATTAGACAAGCTAGTACTGTAATATATGCACAGTGCATTGTATCATATCATTTAAATATGAGGTTTGATGTTCCTCTATATAGATGAAACAGCAATAGACAATGACACTGATGAAGACAATGACACTGAGCTTTCCATTCTGAGTTCAATTAACCCCTTAGAAGGTGAATTTTTAAAAAATGTTTAATCAAAATAGACATAAGTGCAATTGACAAAAACAGTGTATAACTATGTTAACCATTTTTCATTAACTGATTTGCTAACAATGTGTATAGATGTAGTCCACTAGTATTTTATTCTGTTTAATGAATACGCCTATGAATATTATATTTTTAGCAACTGTTAAATACCAATACATAACTTTATTGTATTGTTTATATTGTATGTGTAGACGTTTCTGGTGATCCATTAGAGGTGTCCCAGCGGGCAAAGTTACGTCGATTCAAAGTTGATTCAAGGTCGATCTTCGACGTCGATCTGACGTCGAAATAAGGTTGAAAACGCAAATTGGATCAACGTCGTTTTACGACGTCGAAACGACGTCGCAAAACGACGTCGGAAAAAGACGTCATTTCAACGTTGAAACGACCACAATTATCAAAGTTAAAATCACCGTCAATATTTACGACGCGTCCATATAGCTCTGCAGGCTGAGTGGAAACCAGCCTTGAAACATAAGACAGCAGAAAAAGCATCATATTTCGGTAATAAAATTGCTACTTTATTTCATTTTAATATAATAGAATAATGCGTATTACAAAATAATCCAATATACAATAAAAAACAGACATATAAATACTTAAAAAACTATATAATAATTGTTATCGCCAAGTAAATTTTATTTAAGTGTTTTGTTTTCAAAATTTAAGCGGTGTCTTTTCGTCCACCTCCTCCTTGCCTATCTGGCGCGTATTTCAGCAGTTGCTGTACAGCTTGCTTCACCTCCGCTTCTGACGTTTTTTGATTTTTAACCACACATTCTAAGAATAATACGTAGCACAATATTAACGATAAAGTTTCATTATTTGGCAAGCAACATGAAGTTATGCGATATGTTTAAGTAGCGATCGTGCGGGCAAAACAAGTAAAAAACAAACACAAAATCATCCAAAACTCTTCTTTAGAGAAATAATAAAAATAATTCATGTCATGTTAATTTCTTTTGATAAGCAAGCAAATCAGTAATCACTAATTATCAATATGAAATGAAGTAGATACAACAAAACAGCAAACGTTTACTTGAAAAATTCTTACGAATGCGGTATGTATATTGCAGAAACATACACCACAAAGAGAACAGTTTCACATACCTACAACAGCTTGAAATACTTTGGTAGACCCAAACGCGTATTTCGAACCCTTTCCCTTCATGTTCATTGATGCCATAACTTCATTATTCATCAATCTAAAAAATATTGAAAATGTTGAGAACAGAGACTTTCAATCTACATTATACTAGTTAGCAGTGTAGCACACTCTGGGTAGTCATACTTCTATGGTTAATACCTGTGCATTACATTGCGGACATTCTCTCTGACGTTCAGTCCTCCGATATCAATGATTCGTGATAACTGAAAAACAATGGTCAATTGGTCAGGCATGTCATGGCTAAGGCAGACCATGTGTAACATGGCATGTACATAGAGCCAAAAACTAAACATGTCGAATTAATAACGATTTATTAAAACGCATGACTAATTAGAGAAATAGTATTAATTTTTGGACTCATTTTTACAGTAAGCAGAAGTTGAGTTCTGGCATAGTAAATTTAATACAAATCTCCAATAAGAGAAGTATATTAGGACTATATAAACGACCACAAGAATGGAGGATTGTCAAAGACAAAGATATTTTTCCGTAATTATTGATAAGCTCTTCCATCATTGTTGTCAGTTTTATATTTAGTTAACTACATTGACCAGTCAACAATTCATACACAGGTTTTAGATTATTCTTACCAATACATCTCTGGTGTCTTTATCAGCAAGGCTGCTTTCTAATGCGATCAGTTCCTCCAAGCTCGTTGCCTGATCGATATGAACTGCAGAATTGGCAGGAGAACATCTTTTTCCCACTTGGGCAACCGAGTTACGAATTTCGGTTAATAGCTGCAAAACTCTCCTTTGAAATTCTATGTGTTGAAAAAAACAATGCAACAAAACTCAACAACAATGCAACAAAACTCAAACGATTTTCACAAGTGAAGACATGTTCTAGCAGTTTCTAATTTAAATCTCTTCAATGCCTAAAAATGGGGATTATAGTCCATGGAATAGCTATACACGTTTGGCAACTTGGCAAGAGGACTAGGGTGATCATATTTTACAGCATGTGTACTTACTTGCTTCTGATATGGGGAATCCACTGTTACTCCTAGCAACGGTGTTTTCAATACCAAAACTTCGCTCATGCTGTTTTTCTGGGATAGTATTTTCAGCCAAACTTTCCCTTCTTACACCTGGTGCTGACAGAGAAGGTCTGGACCTTGATCTGGATCTCGTTCTGGATCTTGACCTTGTCGTCAATCGTGATCTCGTTCTGTCATTTCTTTCTGATCGGGAAGTCGATCTAGATCTTGTTTTTGATCGTGATCTAGACTTGGTTTTTGATCGTGATCTTCTTGTTGCATCAGGGAATATTGATGCCAGAATATCTGAAAAGCACAGGAAACAAGCTTTTTAGCAGGCTGCGTAAGAGGCGTTTTGTCCGGGGAATAAGGCTTAAGAATAGTGCTCTAAACTTTAAGACGAAAATATTGATTGTCACGTAAATAAATACCAAGAGCAAACGAAGTAAGTTTTAATGCCTTGGCATACAATCATGACATCATTACTGCTTTACCTGCAGCGCCCGAAAGTAATGGTCCATCGTTGGATCGAAGGTATTCTGGGGTCTTTTTCTTTCCAGATAAACTTTGTTCCTCTGACTGAGAAGGTTTGGACCTCGTCCTTGATCTTGTTTTCGATCTCGAACGCATTCTGGGTCTTGACTTTCTTTTGCAGTTCGATGCAGAATGTGTTTTGGATGATGATGAAGAGAAGTCTAAAATTAGTAGAAACAAAGTAGTAGAAATAAGATTTTAAAAGAAAATTTGGTTCTAAAATCTGTAGTATATTAAATGAAGATCTCTAGAGTATCTATTTTTTACAAAAAGTTAAATGCCATGATTAGCTTACGTTTGTTCATTGTGACAAGCTCATTGTGTTGTTTGTTTCGTGGTCTGTTACTGCTATTCAGTTTTTCTCGAAGAGGGCTTCTCGATCTTGACAGTGGTGTTCTTGGAATCATCGATGTGAAATGGATGCTCGAATCGTTCGTTGCTGAAATAAATTTCTTTGGTGGAGGTGGGAAATCTGAAATAGCTGACAAGTAAATAAGCCTCATTAGTATAAGTACAAAGGTGATTATTGAAAGCGATAATCACCTCGCCTTCGGCAAATTATTGTTACTAAAACTAGTAAAAGTTTCATACAAGTGCAACACTACATTATTACGCATACTGTAGAGCGAAAAAAATAGAATATAATAATTAAGGACAAAGTATACTCGATGGATTAGATTTTGACTCTGATACATACAGTTGGCATTTCCACCGTCACTATCAGAATTATTGTCTGACGAATACACGATTTGTTTTCCTGCAAAATACAAGAAAGAATAAGTACGCCAAATACAAAAATACTTTATACAAAGATGTATGTTGTAATTGCTAACCTTTTCGACTCTTTTTCCTTCGAATTAAATTCTCTTTTCTATATACTTCATGATCCTCATCACCATCACTTACTTCGGCAGTGGTCGTAAAATCGTACCTTTCACAAACTTGTTTTTCATCTGGTTTACAAAAATACAAATTAAATAGAGAACAACTGGAAATACGTGCCTTGAAATGCATATATGCATGACCCTGTTGCTGCAACGTTATTTGTTTGGTTATTTATAATACCGCCCACTTGTTTCTTTTTTCATGAAGTAATATCCACATTATCGTCATTAGGAATGGAAATTTTAGGAAAATAGTTTATATCAATAATAAAATTACTGACCTGCAGTACATTTTATTTTAATAAGTGGAAACGTTTTCCAGTCTGCACACGGTGTTTGTCTTTCAGCATGAGGTTTAATTACATTCAATCCAGATGGCCATCTTACATTGTTGTTCTGAATCCACACATCTGGAACAACGCCTTCGTGTTGCTTTTTTTTCCTCCTGCCAAACAGCTCTTACCCACATTCTTAAAAGAGAAAAAAAAATAAATTGGGAGTAAATTGGGAGTCTTTTATCATAAAGCTATACCAACATGAACACCTACTTTACATTATAGTTCTGTGGGATCCTAAACCTTAAGGTTTTTTGATATAACAGTATTAAGTCAAACGCAATGTACTTTTTCATCAAAAATAAAAATTTTGCAGTATAGGCCAAACTGGGGGAATCCACTTATATGGCAATTACATAATTACGTGATATGTTATAATTACACGTCTACTGCATTAATTTACCTGGAGTAGGGTTAGGACTATCGGTATCTTTCAACCTCGTGATGCATTGGGAAAATGACAAATCCTGACCGGTATGGAAGGCAAACAGCTTTTTGTAGAATTTCGCATTTTTCAACAAGGCGTCTTTTTCCTTTTCGTGACGAGTTATCAATATACACTATGTTAAATAGTTTCGAATCAGCTCTGAGTCGATCGTTCTGATACTACCTCACAGACAAATCTTTCACCCTGATCTCCGCAGTCAACAACAAAAACATAAGTGTTGTCCTTCAGCATAAAACAGCTATCCTTCAATTTGGTAGAGATATGCGTGTAGCGCCAATCACATTGGTGTTTTTGCACAGTGTGCTTCAGTTCTGCTAGTCTTTTAACAACCTGGGCAATAGGATTTTGGGGACTTCGAACAAGTCGCTTCAACTGTTGCATAAAGTTCTCGAAGGGAAAGCATGATATTTCATTTAATGAAGAATGGAAATAGTCAACATCATCAGGCAAATGCAGAAGGTTGTGTACATTGTACACCACAAAGGTATCACCATACAGAGATTTGCAGTTACTCACAAAATTAGTTATTAACTCTCTTGCATACTGCAGATACGAGGTTCGCTTGGCAGTATTCATGTCAAGCATTATGGAAATAGCAATAGACAGAGAAAGAAAGTGCTGGTATAGTCTATCTGGTAAAATGCCTCTTAACACAACAGGCCAAGTATAAAGAAGAAACTGGCGAAACTCAGTAGCTTTCCAGCGATCAAGTTCAACCAACGACCTTGGTTGTCTTGCAAATTCACTTGGCATGTTTCCATGTAACAACATCAAGCTCTCGGATATTTGCAGTATATGTCTGGAAGACAGCTTGCAAATTTTTGGCCAATTTTTAAGGAAAGTGAGCAAGCGCCGAGTAACACCTAAACATACAAGGTGCATATAGTCAAGTGGAAACTGCTTAATGCATGAAACACCATGTGAAGCTAGGGAGGAAGCACTTTTTTGGTGGTGATGATAACTAAAATTCGAAAATTCAACATCAGTCCTTGGTGCAAAAACATCATCATCATTAAACACAACTCTGCCATTCCATGACCCCTTAATTTTACACCGCTCACAAGAGAAGTAGCCCGTGTGACCAACTATACCTTTTAAAAAACACCTTGCAGGAGCATCACAACAAAAACACTTCAGATTAAAGGCAAGTTGCCTTCCTTCAAAATTTACACCATGAATTTTTAACTTATCCAGCTCTTCGATTAAATCATCAAGATAATCATCCACAGAACTTGGTTTAGAATTACCATAAAAGAGTGCAATAATAAAGACTTCAACCTTATTGAAATAACCTAAAATAGGCCAGAACTGGGAAGTGGAAGATTTAAACAATGGCAGCCCATCCACATTGATCATCAAATCAACTGTGGTGTGCTTTTCTATTAAAGATGCATTTTTCGAAAGAATATCAGTTATGCCAGCTTCAATCCCCAGGTATACATATTGCCCGCCACACTTAGATAAAGTAATTACTTCACGAGGGGTTTGCAAAAGGGTGCGACTGTCTTTTGGAAGGCAAAGTCGCTGCCCTCGAAGAATTTGAAGTAGCTCATTACAGCAGTACGTTGGCATTTGTTTTTGTTGCCCAGGTTGCAAGCTTCCCTCTCAATGTTTCTGATGGGAGTGATGGATCATTAGTATTTGGGAGTGAAGGATCATTAGGAGGTAAATTTCCTTCATGCTCATTTTCTGAAAAATCGGTATCAGAGTTTGATTCAGAGCTATATATCAGTTCAGGATTATCTGTATCACTATAATTTGATGACTCATCACTACAACTGTTTTGCAAAAGATCATTTGTATGACTTAAAGATTCAGGATTGTCTTCTTCATTGTCAGACGCTGCAAGAGCAATCGCTTCAGCAGAGAACTTTCTGTAACTACGCCAATAAGCCATATCATAGATTCAAGGTCCTACAATATTCAAAATGGTTGTTTCTATTGTAGAACATACTCCCATTATGTTACATATACTTACACCGTATCTAAAATATACAGGGGAAGCATGCCTATAATACCCTTCCACTGTTCAATGGTTAATTCCTGCTGGGCAAGGATAGTACAAGGATGGGGATCTTGATCACGACACCAATTCAACTACCACGACACCAATTCAATTATCCCCCGAACAAATCAATAAAATATAAAACCTCAGGCCCAAATCACTTATTAAAAAGCACTTGAAAATTGAAATTTGTAAACAGTAAACACGCCGCAACACAAAACGCTTTGATTAAATTGTTTGTGCCGCTTCCGACTCGCGCCAGGCTTACGCGTGGCTGTGCACCATATAAGGTATTAGATACCAAATAAGTAGATAAAGGGATATTTCTGCTTTGCATAATCTATAAGCCTATAAGTTATAAGGGCACCTCAGCGGCTCAGCCTATATATTGCCTTATATTATTCTCAAATAGAAGGGTTTATTTCAGGACAAAAATATTCAGTCGATTAATAATTGTTCATAAATATACTGCTGAACTGTTGGGTAAATCAGAATAATTGATGACAGGACCGGTCCTATAAAAGTCTTAATCACTTTTCAATCGCTATTTTGTATAATGAAATAATGACTAACTCTCAAATACTCTTAACTTTAATCACTTCTTTATACAACCACCCCCGAAAATTTTGTCGTCAGGTATCAACATTCGTTCAACGTAGAAACAACGTTGATCAGCGACGTTGATTCAACGTCTTGAAAACAACGTCGAAACAACGTTGATTTTTGGTTGATCGACGTCGCGACCTTAGTTCAACCAAAATTTGACGTCGAAACAACGTTGTGTGCCCGCTGGGGTATTTGTCGGGAATTGTTAAAGAAGGCAGACAACAAGTGATAACAGTTTCTCGAAAATCTACCTCCCTCCTTGCTGATCAAATTAGGTTACACAAACAGGGATTGGAGATCAAATTCAAGCCAAATGTAGAATTTATAGATGAAGATGCTGTTGATGCATCAGGACCAACAAAGGAGTTCTTTCATCTAATGATGCAGACACTTGTTAGTGGTGACAGAAGCATCAGCCTTTTTGAAGGAAAACCTCATCACCTCTTGCCTCTACACTCTATTGAAGCCATAGAATCTAATCTGTTTTACTATGCTGGAAGAATGATTGGTCATTCTTCTTTGCATAAGGGTTTCCCATTTGTAGGCATGACACCAGCTGCTGTGACCTACATCTTGTCAGCATCAGTCGATGAAGCAATCCCACAGATAACATTGGATGATGTTCCTGATATATTTATGAAGGATATTATATATAAGGTAGTAAACTGTTGTTTAATAGGTGCATAGCACATACATACATACATGATATAGTCCATTTCATCTTTTTCCTTCAGTGTCATTCAGAAATTAAACTCCTTTTACAACTCAGTGAGTTAATTTGTAAAAAGGAAATCTTCAGTGCTAAATTGCAGTTTTTGGCATAGCTTAGATGTCTTAAAATAATGATCCATTAGTAAGTGTTATTTTTTTACAATATGTGAAGATGGTGAGTGCCACAAAAGAAGAACTAGAAGTGTTGAATATGACTGATGAGGTGATGAGCATTCTTCTCACAAGTGGCTTTGTCAATAAACTATTGACATGTGAGAATAAAGAGAAGGCCATACAGGATGTGCTTATATACAATGTACTCCGTATGCAGATTACTGAATTGGATGAAATCCGTAGAGGTTTAGAGTCGGTTGGTTTGGCATCATTTCTCAAACACAACCCATCCTTTGTATGCAAAACATTTGCCTACAGAAGAGACATCACAATCTGTGGAGAAGACTTACTGAAGAAAATAAAAGTCTACTCTGCTGATCTAAGTGATGATGAAAATATGTCTCTCTGTTGGTTCAAACAATTGATCAATGAATTACCTGTGGAAGCACAAACAGGTTAGCAATGCAATATATTTCAGTTCGAGTGTAAATTTGTGGTTATCATATTTCAGTGTGACATATTGTCCACCTGAAGGGTCACAGTTCATTTTGTCAGAAATTGGAAAAAAACAAGTTTAAAATGTTTGAAAAAAATAGTGCAATAAAATACGTCACAACTTTAACAATCAATGTTAAAAAAATCAATTAACACAAAGGAAATATTTAATATTGTTTTTACAGAAAATCCTTATGTGGCAACATTAGAGAAATTGACGCAGTTCGTTTATGGCGATCCACTACCCCCTTCCAAAGCAATGATTGTTAAATTTACAAAAAAGGAAAAGATGCTGCCTGATGTTGACTCATGTACAGCAACCATTCAACTTCCAATTGTTCATCGCACATTTGACGAGTTCAAAAAAGTATTCAATTCAACACTTTCTGTCCAAGCAACAGGGTATGGCAGATTATAGAATACATTGATTAACTGCTCTGGTTTCACATATTATAAACTATGTTTGTGGTTGAGGTTTTGAATAGTTAAAATTATGTTACATTATAAACAATGTTTTATGCTTGAGGTTTTGAATAGTCTGTAAAATTATGTTACATTGTCTCTTCACTAGCGGCTGAACTCACAACTTGTTTTCTCTCCAAAAAGTCATCATATATCAGTTGGTAGTTAATCAGTAACTTAAAAAATAGTAATTGCCAGGGGTCGGTTGTATCAAGCCCGTTTAACTTAAAGGTGGTTAAGTTCAAAATAGAAAGCAAGTCTATCGTTTTATTCGAGAAGCGAACTAAATATTTTTAACCTCAATACAAATAAACTGTTACAACTACATATTCAGTGCATAATATTCAATTTGACAGTTCACTCATTCAAGAGACAGTAAGAGTGTTATTTAAATTTGACCTATCCACCGTTTAAGCTAAACGGGCTTGATACAACCAGCCCCAGACTATTTATCATAGTCATTAACAGATTACAATCAAATACTGCAATATCCCTACAGTGCTACTGGCATATATATTTATATATCTATACCAATAGTTAGGACAGTCACATTCTAAAATGTGCTAGTGCATACAAAAATTAACTGAAAAACTACTAGTAGACGTAATTGTGTTCATATTAAACTAAATTTGTCTTGTTGCAAGAAAAGAAAGTACCTCTAAATATATATCGACACCATTACACTCGCTATTATGCAAGGGATCAATTTGTTGTTCCAACAGTAAACTGTCTTCTGCACTTAGAGGCAAACATGTGACTGGAACTTCCAACCCATCTGGGTGTAATGCTAAGTTGTCTTCATTTGGTGTTGGGCCATCCCAATCAACACCATAGTAGTGTTCATCTTCCTATATTGTTGACAGCATCAATTAAATAATTATAATGGTAGAACTAAATAGTACTCAGCTATTGATGAAAAACCAATCCAAATTGTGTTATTTAAATTCAAATTATATTGTTTGAATTTAAATTATGTTATTTAAATCCAAATTATGTTGTTCGAATCCAGATTATGTTATTCGAAAAAATAAAAATATAATGAGAGTTAGCACAACAGAATTTCAATTCGAATTATGACCCTAATAACGCTTGATAGAGTCCCACAAGCCATAGATTTTTTGTCCTCATTACGACAATCCAGGTTAAGTTATAGTTCCATAAACACTGCTCTGTGTGCACTTTCCTCGATATTACAGATGAGTAACTCTGATCTGACATTTGGGCAACTACCCATTGTGAAATGGTTCATGAAGGGAATTTTCAACATCTGTCCAGCCTTGCCCCATTAGAAGTCCACTTGGGATGTTAGGGTAGTATTAAGTGATTTTCGTTTACAACAAGATGCGACCTTATTGACACTTAAAGAACTGACATTAAAAGTCACCTTTCTCTTAGCATTATTGAGTGGTCAAAGATGTCAAAACAATGCACCTTTTGCGTATTGATCACATGATAGTTGAAGATCAATATTCCTTTCCTTAAGCAGATAAAGTCAAGCAGACACAAGTTGGTACTCATATCCCACCATTTTTTTTCAGAGCTACACAATTGACCAACACCTCTGTCCTGTTTTGCACCTCCAAGAATATCTCAAGAGGTCTGAACCCCTGCGGAATCAAACCCCTTGTTAATCAGTTTTAAAAAAACCCACACAAGCCTGTTACTTGCGACACAGTCTCTAGATGGATTAAGCTAACTCTTCAACAGGCAAGAATTGACATTTCCATTTTCAAGTCACACAGTGTTCGAGCGGCTTTGTCCTCGTTTTTAACGGAACACAGTCTTAGTTTAGGAGACATCTTAATGTTGATGGGATGGTCCAGTGAAAGAACCTTCCAACAATATTACCATAAAATAATAGTAGAGTGTTTTAACCATGAGGAATTTCTTTTGAATGCATCCAAGAATGTTAGTAAACTTTCATGCGACGTTAGTGATGATATAAATTACTGTTATTTACTGTTATATTGAAGAATATGGGTTGTTATATTAATTAAAGCAGAGTGTCAATGGCTGCTCTAAAATCTTGTTCAACTCCAACACGACCATAGCTAATGACAAAATAGAATTGGAAATTAAACAAGACTTACCTGTAAGTTGAAGTTTGATCTGGATTCTATGAGTCATTAGCGGGGAAATGTGAGAGTTGTATGCCACTTCCCAATCTAGTATGTTGGTCATCACACTCACATAAACTCTCACACTCCGCATTGAGCCTCTGCTTCGGGGCTCAAAAGTCTGATTGGGCGCATGCGCTGCACTCTCTCTCGTACAACTCTCACACTCCCTGCTAATGACTCATAGAATCCAAATCAAACTTCAACTTACAGGTAAGTCTCGTTTAATTTCCAATTTTGCATCACAAAGGCATGAAATGAAAACAACTGATTAAATGGATCTTTCCCAACTTTAAAAGTGACATCCATATGCCAATTCTTTGCTTGCTTTAGTAGCAAAGCAATCATTTCTAGGATGCTGAATACAAGGGGTGACGGCAACCCCCAACCTACACATCTGCCAGCAGTAAATTATCTGCTTGCAGAATATTATCTGGGAAGAGCAGCTCATGGGGCATATTTGAAATCAGCAACTAGAACTTCATCAGCAATAGCTTCCACAGATTGAAAGATGTCTTCATAGCTTTGGCTTTCACCTCGCTGATTATCTACACCAAACGAGATGATCAAGAAGACAACTTTTATGAGGTATAAATATAAGTTGTTAAGGTTTAAATATGACCATGCAGAATGACAACATGTGTTTCACCTTTGCTGCTGTACTATGCCACTGGATGGTTGATAGGAATGTATCTGCACACCTTGAGTAAAATCTGTGCCATGCTGCTTCACAGTGGGCAGACAATTGGTTGTCTTGTTACAGACAAGTACAACCCCAGACAATTGTCTTGTTACGGATAGTACAATCACTACAATGCCAGACAATGCTGTTTTCCCCATACTTCCGTTTAACCATGTAGGGATGTTCAATATTGTCCACCATGCGAGTTGGTTAGTGGGCCGAGTTGACTGTAATTAATAAAAACATCCAAATGCATTATACAATATAATCCTATTACATGAATTAGACTTGGGTTTCTACAGGTACGTCGATTTTTAAAAATATCATGGGTTGATTATTCTTGAACATTTCATGTTACAAATTACATCCGATTAGTATCACATATGGTATCAATTTACTTTTAAGTTCAAGTTGTTGCCATTTCACATTGAACTAATCACCAGGTTATTAAACCTGTAAGCAAACCATGAATGTATGAATAGAAACCTCTTTATGCGCTTGTCACCGGAAACCCCCACCACCCCCAGACTTTTCTATGCGCCCCATAGGGTGGGGGCTTAGGTCAGTTTTGTCAACGACAAAAATTGAAAGGGGACTGGGATCAAATAAATGCTTGATTCAAAATGGCGGACATCCACATGGAAAACACAGAGGTCGAAGGTGAGAAATCTTGAAACTTATGTTTTATTCATGATTTATTCCCGGTTATTGTAACATGCGGTCATTGGAGTAGGTCATGCTTTACAGAGCTCCGACCAAATCTTTTAAAATATGTGGTAATAACTTATAGATATAGCCTATATCTATCTAAAAGTCTCTTCTCCATTCGAAAATACGTCTACGAATATCGAAAATACGTTTACGCTTTGTGTAAATTTGAAAATACGAAAGAACGTTCTCTTAATTTCAAGATGGACGAGCATCAATCTCGAACAAGAAGCGGAAAGTCTCCTGATTTGAAAAAGCAAGTATACGATCTAATCTCAAAGGATAAAGCATTCCTTGAACTAATCGCTGATGCAGTATCTACAGGTATAGCTGAAAAACTGGCTGAAAAGTTAACCGGAGATGAAAATTTTGTGAAGAAAGTGTCAAGCTCAATTGCACATGAAATCACCGAAGACATTAGCCAAAACGTATATCACAGCCTTTCGTTCGATATTAACAGCGCCAACGAGAAAATCAAGGAATTACAATGTCGGAAAAGAAATTGATTGATCAGTATGAGAAATTAGAGGATAATCTTGATAATCTACAACAGTACAGCCGAAGGAACTGTCTACTTATTCATGGCATTCCCGAAAAGCAAGCTGAGAATACAGACAGCGAAGTGCTGAATATATTTAATAATAAACTACATGTCAATATCACAGCCGTAGACCTAGATAGATCTCACCGATTAGGAAAGAAACGGCCATCCAGTACACGCCCAAGACCAATTATCGTCAAATTTACGAATATAACAGGAGGGCAGATGTCTTTAGTGCTAAAAAGAATCTTAAAGCGACGGGAATCACTATTTCTGAAAGCCTAACCAAGAAAAGATACGACCTCTTAATAGCCGCACAAAATCATCCAAGCATTAAATCTACATGGACGTTGGATGGCAGGATAATTTGCCTATCAAATGAAAACAAGAAACTCGTAATGGAAACGAAGAAAGATATTCAACAACTCTAAATTACAGGTTAGCCTCAGTATTTACCTAAATCAGTGCCCAATCATATATTAACCAACAGTTTATTGGTGTCTCAGCTTAGTACACTAAATTGTGGTAAACAAATACTTCTGTGTGCGATTTAGTATTGTGAGTATTTATTGATTATACTTGTAATTACAGTTTATATATACTATAATACGTAGATCCTTATATATATTTTTCTTTAGTACTTCTCTTTATTTTTCCGCGTATGATAGAGTTACCATTTCATAACTTGGATGATGATGAATTTATGCTTGTGCTATCTGAAACTAACCACAAATCTTGTTTTGAGATTGATCTTTTAAATGAATTCAGTTTTAATCCATTTTCTTTAAATAACACAGTGACTGATATTAGTGATTTAGATCCTGATAGACACTTCTATGGCCAATACACAAACCAGGCTTGCAAGTATTATTTGGAGGACGACTTTATCTCTAAGTACACTCAATTTAAGAACGACAACTATTTTTCCCTTATTCATCTTAATGCAAGAAGCTTATCTAAAAACTTTGATAATATTTTTAATTATTTAAGTCTTTTAAATTATGAGTTTTCTGTAATGGGTATTACTGAAACCTGGCTATCTGATTTGAATTCCAACCAATATAATATGCCAAATTATGAATTTATATCATGTTCTCGTGACCAACGCCAAGGCGGTGGTATTGGTCTTTATGTAAATCAAAAACATGATTTTACATACAGAAACGATTTAGGCATTAATGATGACGATATCTG